AAGTAGTTTATCAAAAACTCACTTTTTACGTCATTCGGCGCCGTGCCGGTTTTGTCGCGAAACTTCGACAAGTTATAACTTCTTCGTTATAACTCGGATTTCGGATTTTTTTATATATCCGAAATCCTTGTCACGACCACTACAACTTCCTTTATAGATATTGGGTTTATCTAATATTTATTTTCAACGCTTATTTTTATTCTTAATTCATTAAATTACAATAATTAAGCATAAAACACATAATAATCAAATAGTACATCTTATTATTTCAAAACAAGTTACAAAGGTTGACCTAGACTATAACATCATCATTAGTGCCTAGACTAGAAACACGGGTGTTAAAGATGACGCCAAATGTTGCGATACATGCTTTGGACTTAACAATGTCACTAGCTGATTCCGGTTGAGTTGAGCCCTGTAATCACAGGAATGAAGAAATAACGTCAGTCGATGTCCGAGAGGGGGTCCTGGGATGAAGCTCCGACAGTCTAGTTAGTGTTTTTCTGAGAATAAGGTAATCAGGGTTTGATACGGAGAGAGGGCGATCCCTTCTTCTGGAGAAGAAAGGTGCTTTTATACTTGTTCCTTTCTGTGCATGATCCTAACAGTTCTTTTTGTCCGGTCTGGGCCGACAGAACGTGGAGGAGTCCCATTGGAGGATCGTGCACCACTACTGGTCATCTCCTATTGGTGTGGAGTAGATAGAGGACAGCGCCTTGGGCGCAACACGTGTCGTTCTGGGGGGTGACCAACTGTGTTTTGTCCTATTATAGACCGGGGATTGTCATCAGGAATTGAACCTAGGCGCGAGGGCGCCAAGTGGGAGGGTCCTAGTGCGAGTGCGAGGGCGAGGGCCCGGTCTGGCACTAGGATAGATTTGAGACTTTTAGCTAGGTCGTCCTAAAGAAAACGGTTATGTTATATTTAACGTATTCCTAGTGGGATTCGTTAACATAATTTTCTCAAATCCAAAAAGTGTTCACGGATCGCGGCACAAAATTCCTAATCATAACACGATTTTAGATCAGAAACCTAAATCATTTAGGTTTTGGTGTTGATCACTGAGGGATCTGTCAAGGTTACTGATCTGCGTTTCTTGGGTGTGACTATGGAAGTGGATTTCTAGTTTGGGCTCTTTACATCCATACAATCAGCAATAATTTAATCAAAGGCTTCAAGGGTATGATTCTTAACTATATCGTTGTGTTTAGTTTCATTAGATCTATTTGAACTTGGATCTTCTCTTGAGTTATGTGATTAGATTTATTGTATTTCTTCTGATGTAACTTTATGGCTTATAAGTTTTGTTTGTATCCGCATAACTCTACACTTAGGGAGATTATGTTTATGAAAATGAAAAACCTAAAAAACTCGTCGTGTAGATTATAGTCAGTCGTTACCATTATGATGAACATTAGGCATGATATTTGATTTTCAACACCACTGTCTTCTTCAATAATTTCGATTTCATCAACGGGTTCCATATATTAAACGAAATTGGTGTCACAAAATGGACTAGTCATGTATTCCTCATCCTCTTCCCAAATAATTGGCTAAGATTCAAACAAACTCGGGTGAAACACCTCTAAAAGGTAGCCATCATCCTTCTCTTTGTCTGGAATGGCCAGTTCAGATATTGTATACTCAGATGGTGAATTCAATATGAATTTGAATCTTACATAACTATCACATGTATTTGATTAAGATTTTATCTTGCTCTATTAGGAAATATATTAGAAAATAAGGATTTTGGAATAACAATAAAACTTGGATATTGCTTGGATCATGATTACTTCACTTTCCGAAATCTGTAATTCACCCTTTATAGCCTGGGGTATACGAATTCAAAAGTGGGATAATCCAAGAAATTTGATTTGGATTATAGGCCTAATCCAAATCTTAAACACAATATACCTTGTGATGTTATGTGTTCTTTAGATGTATATGTTAATGATCAACCCTATTACTGGAATCATTACCTTGTATTTATACAAGGATGGAAAAAGTAGTTCAAAGTTGGTTACACCAAATTGGTGCCAAAACAGGTAGGTTTTAGACACAATCGACACTTACATCACCATGATGTCATGAGTAGATTTTGGCAGGAAATTGCATGGATGGACATTTTCCATATATAGAAATCTGTTTAGGTTTCGGGGCGGTGCCCCTTGACCTATCTGTTGATCAGTCAGTGGAACCACCGTCAGGGGATCTGCCCTTTGGATCCTGCTAGGGGAGCAGCCTCTAGACCCCGCCACCAGGGGAGCTACCCTTTGGAACCCCGCACGTAGGGGTGCTGCCCCTGGAACCCCCTATACCCGAGTTCATATTTAACACTTCGAGTGTACACTTCACACCTCCAATCTCGGATGACTAACTGAACCAATCTGTCTCGACAACAATAATAATTACACCAAATATATGCTGACAATACTAAAATTACCAACAATATATCGAACGTCAATCATTTCGCGTTCATCCCAAATTCACGATGGTTTGCAACTCCACAACCAACTTACTTGGCATATGATACCAAATGATATGAAAATTATGAAACATAAATGACCGGACTGGAGGTAATAAATAACGACAATACCAATCGTTGTCCTTAAGATATTTTTCCACAAATTCTTGTTAATTTATAAAATTTCAAAACATGAAAACCTATAATAACAAATGTCTTATTTATAAATATACTATATTCATCCTATAAAGAAAGACTTATATGTAATTTAAAAGATAAGTTATGACCAATGATGATAATATTAAAATATTAAAATCATCTTTAACTGCTCCATAGGCTCCATTCCTTTTACCTACCTTGGTCTCCAAGTAGGGGCATCCATGGCAAGAGCTGTCCATTGGAACCCTTTAGTAGAAAAATTCGGGGCGAAGCTATCAAAATGGAAGTCCTCCACTTTGTCTTTCGGGGGACGCTTAACTCTATGCAAAGCGGTCCTAGGTAGTCTATGTTCTTTCTATTTCTCTCTATATAGAGTACCTACCAAAGTGATCAACAGTCTGGAAAAGATCAGAATGCGTTTCTTCTGGGGCAGAGATAAGGATAACAGGAAAATTGCATGGATTGCATGGGATAAAGCTCTTGCATCTAGAGACAGTGGCGGGTTGGGCATTGGTAGTTTGAAAGCTCAAAATATCGCTTTACTAGGGAAGTGGTGGTGGCGGTTCAAAGTAAACCCTAATAGTTTTTGGGTCGAAGTAATAAAGTCTATATATGGAGCTGATGGTGGTTTCTCCAGGCCATCGGTGGCTAGAAGGAAAAGTGGATGTTGGGGCGTTATTGCTAACCTCCCTAAACTCCTCGAAAAGGACAAGGTTTCTTTCATGGAGCACTTCCTGTTGGCAACAAATGACACTAGATCAGTTAATTGGAGTTGGGGGTTAGAAGCATCAGGGTTATACTCAGTATCATCTTTGAGGAACCACATCGACAGATCTATTCTCCCCCGGTCAGATGTTAGTTGGAAATGGAACCCATTAGTCCCCAAGAAACTAAACATTTTCGCATGGAGAATTAACCATGGTAGATTACCTTCAATGGCTAACTTATCTAGATTTGGCATTGGATCATCTAATCTATGCAGGTTATGTGGTGGTGCTCCAGAAACTGAGAATCATATTTTTGTTGAATGTGAGATAACAAAGGTAGTCTGGCAAAGAGTTTCTAGTTGGTGGCGCTTACTGGACTATTCTTTTCCCTTGGTTCGGGACCTACTAAACTGTAAAATGATGTTGGGTGGGCATAAATGGCTATTAACCATTCACGAAGCAATTATGCTAGTATTTATATGGGTGGTTTGGAATTTTCGAAACTTGAAGGCTCACTCCTCGAGTGTCAAATCCCACTTGGTGCTGGCTTACGAGGTGCAATCGTTGTCTTTCTTATGGATCAATGCGAGGAAGCGGAAGGGTGAAGCTTTTAGATGGGATGAATGGTGTAGTGATCCCATTCGTGAATGCTACTCTAGGCTTTAGTCAAATGTTCAGTAATTTTGTTTTTTTGTTTCTGTTCCGGTTTGTATCTCCTAGCCTCTGGCTAGTTTGTTCTTTTAATATTATGTTGCCGTTCAAAAAAAAACAATATCATCCTTAATTAAGATAACATTAATTAAGATAACATGAACAAACTTTTTAAAATACTTATGAAATAAACAAAACTTAAAGATACATCATAACCTTGAAACTCTAAAAACAACTCATTAATAGCTCGTCCACATAGCATTCGAGGTAGGGTTTGGTGCATCATACACTCTCCTACTAAAGCCACTATAATATATTGTGACAATATACATTATCTATATTTTAACGAATCTTGTTCAACATAAAAAAACCAAGCACAATGAGATTAATATGCATCCATACGTGACAAATCATATTGGGGCATGTTTGCATTCTACATGTAAGTGAAACTTTGAGTTCCCGATTGTTGATATCTTCATAAAAAGTCTTCCTATATAGAATGAGTTTGGTTCCGGTTTAAACATTCAAATGGCCGTATATTGATGTACATATTGATAGCTCTTTAGATTGGCACATGTTTTGTATTATGAGTTGTGACCTATATAATATAGCCTAGAGCTTCCCTTGTAATTTATCCATATATTAGTATGATCGAGATCAACCACTTCACATATCTAACAATCGAACACTATCTTCTTCACATTTCATCAAATTCATTTGCAATGACACCAATTCGTCTCGTAATTCATCAACCTTCGGATGAGTCTCATCTCCCGAACAAAAAACATGTGTACTCCTCCACAACTCAATCCAACTCAACCCCGCATCTTTCTCACCCACATCTCTCATCTTCCTCCTCATATTTGCAACATCATCCCATCGTCCCATTAACGCATAAAAACTCGTCACCAACACATTCGTAGCAAGATTTTCTTCACAAATCTCCATAATCCTATCAACCACACGACTTCCCACTTCAACATTCCTCCTATCAATACACGACTTCAATAAACTCCTCCACATTTCAAGATTACATTCATCGATTTCCATAATCATCTCCTCAGCTTCTTCAAGTAACCCCGCACGACTTAACAAACCCACAAAACAAGAATAATGTTTACTTCCACGAATCAAACCGTTTTCCTTCATCGAACTCCATAACAACCTCCCTTTATCGATCAAACCACAATGATTACACGTAGAAAGCATGGAAAGATACGTCACTTCATCTGGGATTAACCCTCGTTTCACTATCTCATCAAAGATCATAAACGCTTTCTCCACTTTCCCATGGTGGCCATACCCCGAGAGAATCGAATTCCAACATTTCAAATCTGGGGTTTTGATCTCGGAAAGAACCGATTCCGCCGATTTTAGGTCACCGGATTTCGCGTACATATCGATCAAGCTACCAAAAACCGACATTTCTATATTCAAACCGAGTTTAATTGAACTACAATGAATCATCTCTCCTTGATTATTAGAAGCAAGATCCGCACATGCACTTAACACAATACTTATCGCAAAGCTATCGATCTTGTGTTCTTGTGACATTTCATGGAAGCATTTGATTGCGTGAGAACCATCACCCGTTTTAGCATAACCCGTGATCATTTCTGTCCAGAAAACCACATCCTTAATCGGGATTGAACTTTGAAGCTTTTGAGTAGATTCGATATCTAAATTATCAAAATACATCGACACCAATGTGCTTGCAATGTACACGTTTGAATCAAACCCTAATTTGACAATTTGGGCATGGAGTGGTTTTCCGTAGTTACAAGAAGGTAATGATCGAGTTGCAGAGATGATAATGGCGAATGTGTAGTCATCGGGTTTAACATAAGAAACTTTGGAAAAGTGGATAAACATTTTGATTGATTTGTCCTTGTCTCCATTTGAAGATAACCCGGATAATATCGAGTTCCATGAGACTAAATCTGGTTTCTCGATGTTATCAAAAACTTTGAGTGCTGTTTTGGTGTCCCCACAATTGGAATACATGTTTAGCAACGCATTAAGCAATGGAAGATCCGTGGGTAATCCGGATATAATTACTTTCGCATGAGTGAGTTGTCCGATGTTATGGTGTTGTAATTTACTACAAGCGTTGAGTACCATTGAATACGTGAATTGAGTAGGAAAAGACTCAGAATTAATCATTTCTCTAAAGAAATAAAGTCCTTCAATGATCTTTTCATTTTTCATGTGTCCAACTATGATGGAATTCCAAGCCATGGCATCTTTTTTGAGTATACAACTGAAAACCTTCTTTGAGCTCTCTAAATCGCCACAATCGGAGTACATACCAAGAAGAGAAGTTTGAACTAATGTATCACTCAAGAATTCGAATTTTACAATCTGTGTATGTAAAGAAGATCCTAGAAGAAGGTCTTGAAGGGAAGAAGATGCTTGTAGTAAGCTAGTGAAAGTAGGCCCATTTGGTATGAATCCTTCGATGTTTAATTGCTTCAGTAGGTCAAATGCTATATGGGCGTTGTTGCGACTGCGAGAATAGGCAGCAATGAGGGCGTTATAAGAGACGATGGTTCTTTGAGACATTTCGTCGAACACAATGTGTGAGTGTAAGAGGGAACCGCATCTTGAATACATCGAGAGGAGATTGTTGTTTAGGTAAGGAGATTTTCGGATTGGGGGTGTGGCAGTGATGACTCGAGCATGGAGTTGACGGGCTTTTATGAGGGAGTTGATGGAAGTGCATTTTTGGATTAGAAGTGTCGCTAGTGAAATGGCTTCTTGAGGTGATGACATAAAAAATGGAACTTGTTGCCTGTTTGCTTTTTGATTTTGTATTTCGCTTATCAAAAAAGAAACCGGAGAGAAGAAATCAACTTTCTTGCTGTATCAATGGTATCTGATCATGGGTAATTTAGGGTTTCGTTGTATAACCCACATGAGTTTTTATTTGTTATTTTAAAGAAAATGTCGTTAACGAGTATAAGATAAGCGATAAGCGAACCCCTGTTTTCTCATTTCTCTTTCGTGCTTTTTCCCTCGCAAATTTCGAACAACCAAAAATGTCAACAATCGTCTCTGGCGACGGCGAGATGCTCCGGCTTCAATACTCACGCCTTTGTTGTCTCATACACAACTCTCTCCATCCATTCACAGTAAGTTGTTCTCTCTTCACATTGTTTCTTTCCTCTTTCCCTCTTTTTATCATCTCCCGTTAAATTTTCTCAGGCGAAATCAACGGAATCGATAACCAAAGAACAAGAGAAATCGCTGTTAATTACACTCTCTCAGGTCATTAATTACCAACTTAACGTTTTACATATACCATTACACGAATTCGTACTTCAATTACTGAAATTTGAATCCTCAGTTTATGCAAAACCCTATTTCCATGTTTTAGGTTTCAAATCAAATAAAGCTTTGGACTGACGAATTTGCCTCTGGTGATCATGTTGGTGCTTCTTTCGTTGTAGTTTAATTCGAGTTGATTACTGTTCATCGCCATCGTTGCTCAATCAAGCTTGTATTTTACACACAGGGCAACCCAGTAAACGAAATTTCTAGTAATAGCAAATCCACCATCGTTAGCTCAATCTGCCATTCTTCAGCTTCCGAATGTGTATTCAAGATCATAAACGAATTGGTACAGTTTCATCACTTCATGTCATTCTATAATCAAGATTATGAACTCGATTACTCAAATTAAGCCTCTCAATTTGATTTCTTTCTTACAGGTGTTCTTGCTAGCAATCCAGAGTCCATATGTTCGACATTTATCAGGAAATGTTCTTGTAGCCATATCTAATTTTGTGGTGTCAATGTCATCTGTATGTTTAAATAAGTAAATAACCATTCATTTTCCACCTCATTTCTTCCATTCTTTCTTACAAAAAACACATTTTACAGGAAAACCATTGGGAAGAATTCATCAAATCACTATGTATCCACTTCAAGCTCATAATTCATAAAGCAATTTCACCTTCTTCAAACCCACCAAAAACCAAACATCTGGATCATGATTCTTCAGCAAGCTCTATCATATTAGTATTACGAAATATTCTAAAACACCTGAAACACGAAGAAGATGATGAAATTTTGGAAGTTTATTTAAACACTCTTTCTTCTTGCTTACAAGATATACCATGGGAGTCATGTAACACGGTTTCCAATGAGTTTTGTGGTCATCTTCTTCAGTTGTTTTGTTCAATTGTTTCAAATTCTGATGACAAAAATCCATTGATTCTTGAAATCTTTAACATCTTTCCAAGATTTCTAACATGGTATCAGAGCAATCAAGCTGAAAATAATGGTTATACAAAAATCTCTCAATACATTCAACACAAGATTCTTGTATTGATGATGAGACTTAGTTCTATCATTAAGCTAGATTGTGAGATGATTGTTTCATGGTTGAATCTTATCGAAAAACACTTCCAAGATTTACTATTTGAATCTTTAAATCAATCAGACACCAATCAAGATGATTGCCTTAAAGATTCTCCATTTCTTCTTGATGAAACTTGTCATCATCAACATTTACAAAGACGAGTTGTTTTCCTTTACTTGAAGTGTAGTTTTCATTTGATTAGATTACAAGAAACAAAAGGATTTATTGCAATTCATGAGTGGCTCAAAAAGCATCTTGTGAAATGCAGCCAATTTGCAGAATCTTTTTTACAGCTTTATATCCATGAGGTTGTTCTTGATTTATTTCATTTTTCCTTTTTCATAAATATTTTGTTTATTAGTGTTTTTATTTTTGTTTCATCTTTGAATTGCAGGATGATATGCTGTTTGAAGTTCTCTTGTTGCTAACTGACATGCCTTTTTGCAACAAACAACAGTGAGAAACATAACTTATAGTTTAATTTTTTTATTCGTGTATACATATTTTTTGGTATTTATTCATATATATATTTTTTTGGTATTTGTAATAGGAAAGATTGGACATTGGATGTATATGAGAAGGATATAATTGTCCTACTGTTGGATATTTTTGAAACTGTTCATCTTTTCCATATATTTCTTTCAGAGGTAAGTTCTTCGATAGTTTGTTATTTTGTTTCAAAAATACTATTATTTTAAGGTTACAAAATTACAGTCTTACCCTCAATTGTTTACAGATACATTATGATCATCAAGTGCTTCTCGATTATCTTATCTCCAAAGACACTGGAGCTACATGTGCCGAGTATCTTTTAAGGCACGTTTCACTATCTTACTGTTTTTTTTAGATCTTTTGCTTAATAATTAATTAATTCAAAAATATTCAGGTGCTTGCGAATCATATGCGATAAATGGGACTCCTTTCTAAAATTCCCAATTTGCAAAGAAGTTGGAAGCCAATCATCTAAAAAACGAAGAAAAGTGATGAATGATTCATTTGAAACGGATCATAAAAACCAGAAAAGCTTTAAAGAACCATTTCATGATGCAAGGGACTGTTTACTTCTGCTAAAGAAATCGATTGAGAGTTTACACCACAAAAACTTGTTTCCATATAATCCAAAAGTGCTTCTGAAACGGTAATTTCTTGATCTTTTTGTATGATGTCCTTAAGTTTTGTCGTTAGTTATTATTTCATACAAAAAGATGATGAATTTTGATATATGCGATGCATATGGTCGTATTTTGATAGTAGATTTGTTTGTTTTTGAAGGTTGAGTAGATTTCAAGAGCTATGCCCAAGGCCATAAGTCGCTCTGGCTTGTTTGCTCGGTTTGTAGGATCACATTTTTTTGGGTTTAATGTTAATTTTGTGAATACATATAGAAGATATGACCTTTTGATCATTGTGACTCCTTAAAAATTAGAAATGAAATGATAAGTAGTTATTTATGAAACTTAATTTATGTATTTGATAACATAAGACATGTTTATTGTTTTGAGTTTGCATCCGCTACACTTGTTTTTGGTCTAAACCTCCCCAACGTTTAATCCTTCTCGTACTCATTCTCAACCCGATTTGAAACCTTAACGACTTTTTTTATTAGGATCCTAATGGAGTAGAGATTCTAAAGGAACCACCCTCATGCTCCCTTTGCATTTGGATAATCTAAGAAACGATCATTGTAAATAAAGGAACCAAAGTTGAAGACCGGGATGCTCTCAAATAATTTGAATCTCAAACTCTCTGGGATGCGGGTGTGGTTTAGTTATGTGCTTCGTTAGAACTCATGTTGCTCCTATGATGTCGTAATCGTTCTCCGAACTTGACTCTCTCTCTTCCCTGAGTTTTAATCTCTCGTCTCATCATGTATGGGTTTATCATCATGCACAATTGGATTACTTTCAATGTCTACCGATTTGTCTTCCATATTGGTGACTTAGACGTGTTCAATGACATTGATGAGATCCGTGTTGTAGGTGAATTTGATGTCGTAGATGGGACGTGGGGTCATAAATGAGACCGATATCATACACGAGATCGACGTCAATAGGATCGATATCGTATATAACAAGTTTCTTCTTTTAATTCGGTTGACCTGAAAAATGAATCATCATTAAACATCATTAAAAATGGTAAACCACACATGGAGCGGGTTATTTTTCATAGATAGAATTTCGATATGAATATCACCGGTTGAAATTAAGAAGTGAATATGCGGAGAAAACAACATTCCAAACCAAAGGACACTTTGAACTTTTAGTGATGCCTTTTGGCTTAACAAATGCGCCAACGACATTTCTGGACATTATGAATAAGGTTTGTAAGTCATATCTTGACAATTTCGTTATTGCATTCATTGATGATATCCTCCTTTATTCTAAGACCATGGAGGAGAATAGGGATGATTTAACGTTGGTGCTTGAAACATGTGAAAAATGAGAAACTTTATGCTAAGTTTTCTAAATATAAATTTTGGATTAGAAATATACAATTTCTCGGGCATGTGGTGAACGAAGATGGATAAAAGTAGACCCAACCAAAATTTAGGCATTCATAAAGTGGGAGTCGCCAAAAGCCCCACCAAAATTAGAAGTTTTCTTGGATTGGTTGGTTATTACTGATGATTCGTAGAAATGTTTTCAATATTTTTGAGTCATTTGACCGCGTTGACTTGGAAGAGTGAAATATGAGTGGACCAAGTTCAAGACAAGGTTTTGAGGATCGAAGAAAAGGTTCTATAAGAAACCCATCCTCACATCACCATAAAGAACATAAGATTTTGAAGCTTACAATGATGCACGGATTTGGACTATGCCATTACCAAAAGGGGAAAGTGATATCTTATGTATCTCATATGTTGAAGGTACACAAATTGAAATTATCCTACCCATGACATGGGGTTAGGAGTTTTCATTCATGCCTTGAATACTTAGAGACATTATTTGTATGAAACAAAGTACAAGTTTTATACAGATCACAAAGTTTTATTATTATTATTATTATTATTATTATTATATATATATATATATATATATATATATATATATATATATATATATATATATATTCAATAAAAAAATACTTAAACATGAGACAAAGATAGTGGATAGAACTATTTAAAGATTATGATCGTGTGGTTTTTACCATCCTGGTAAAGCAATTATAGTAGTTGAAGCTTTGAGTAGGAAAGAAGCGAGTGAAATGATGCATGTTAAAGCTTTGAGGATTGAAGTGGTCTCTTGTATTATAGAAGTGTTGAAGGAAGCTCAATTGAACGCAACTAGGAATGAGAATGTGAAAAATGAGAAACTAGGAAGATCAATAATGTTTAGCAGTATTCGGATGAATTAAACACATTTCAAGGAGGTATGTAGGTGCCTAATGAGGTATGTCACCTCCAAACAGAAGTGGTTCGGTTAATCCGAATCCGAACCACTGATATAAGGACGAACGTATCGTGGAGTGCCGAACCCAGGAAAATGAAGTCGGATCACTTGACTTGCAAAAAATGTTGTGAGCTAGTATTCACGAGTGTCAAGTCAAGGAAACATAGGGAACGCCACATAAATAGCATGTCATGGACCAACGGTTTGATACAGCTTATATAACGAGAATGACAAGATTATCGATAGTTCATAAGTACTATTTTTGTATCTTTGGCAATGGACGCATTAATGACGATGAGATGTGAACCTATTCGGATCGTCCTCATCACCATTTCCCCGTGCGAAGAAAGTATAAAGGCAAAATAATTCAACCACGAATAGGTATGCTCTTGACAACCTCATTTCACTCACAATTCGATTTTAATTACCCATATCTTGCATCTGACCTAAGCATGCATCTGACCTAAGCATTAGAGCGTTCTCTCGGGTTAAACGTTCGGTGAACATCTGACGTTTACTCTTTTTCTTAAGTATGGCTTGTCTCCGGACGAACCACTATCACCCCGCATATGATTATCTAGCCCCCTAAAATATGAGATTCATCAAGTAGCACCGTCCGCCAGACGAGAAACAAATGGTCACTATCGGCAACACTATCGATAATTTAACTGAAGAGGCAAGTCCGTTACAAAGAATGCAAGATTTGGAGGCGCAAGTGGAAATACCTTAGGTGACGACTGTTGTTAAGAAACGTGATATGGCAGGTACTTCAAAAGAACATGAAAAAGAAGATAAGGAGTTGGAATAGTTTGAGGACTTTAAAAGGTACAAGGCAACATAAAAGAGGTGTGGAGAAAAGGAAAATCAGAAGAAAGAAATGAGGGATAAGGAGTGGGATCGAGTTTCCATTCATATAGATCATTTGAGTGATTATAGTGATAAGCGCAGTAAAAGAAGGAATAAATAAAGAAAGGGAGATGATGAGCAAGGGAATAAAGCTTTTCAGAGGCACCGACACACTGAGGACCACCATAAAATGGTCGGGGGATGGAACTTCAGGTCGCCATTCACCGGTGAAATAAACAACACTCCAATCTCGGCAGGATTGAAGGGCCCTAGGGTAAAATCTTACGACGGCTCTGGAGACCCGGATGACCATGTAGAAAATTTCCAATGGGCGATCAAAATGATTCCCATGGATCCTAAGCTATAGAGCCTATATTTTGCGGGTACTCTCAATGGGTCAACACGATATTAGTTGGAAAGTCTCCCACCCAGAAGCATTGGGAGTTTTGAGGAACTTTGCACGAAGTTCTGCAACAGTTTCATCCAACAGCGAAGGTTTCAACAACATGCTCACTCCATATTTTCCTATAGACAAAGGGAATGGGAGTCCATTAAGGCTTATTTCATAAGGTTCAATGAGATCAGCCGAAAATTGCCAACTCAAGATGACCCAATGATCATCGCGGCGTTCGCGTATGGATTACTCAAAGGAGACTTGTTTAGGAGGATGGTGGGAAAAGAATGGGTGAACACAAAGGAAATGATAAGGAAAGTTAACAGATTCTTGAGACAGGAAGATGAGAGTGCCAGAAAGCGACGTACCGAGAAAGGAGGTTCACATCCGATCGACCGTAAAGAAAGGTACGTCCCTATCCCAACGAGCTGATTTGGGAAACATAGGGGGAAGAGGAGAGGAGACCGAGACCGAGGAAGGCACAACATATATGCCCCGTTTAAAAAAGAGATGTACGATGTGCAACCGTCTAAAGAACAAATGTAACATCCTAAAAACTATAAGTAAATATTTCAATTTTAGGCCAACCAAAAGCCATTAAGTATTCATATCAAACCATCCAAAGTATATCATAGTGAAATAACATCATAGTACAAAATCTCAAAATCACGTAATGCGGAAAACATGGGCCCTTCCCTTTCGAGCTGGAAGTACCTGAAATATAAACTGAAAACTATAAGCACAAAGCTTAATGAGCTCCTCCAAAATACCCCATACCATACATACGTAACAGTCAAAACATAACTGGGTCTATTTCACCCCCTCCGGCCTCTTTCAATCGGTACTTGGGTATATTTCAACCCCTTCATTCTCTTTCAATCGGTATTGGGTCTATTTCACCCCCTTCAGTCTCTTTCAACCGGTATTGGGTATATTTGAACCGGTACTCGGTATATTTCAACCCCTTCGGTCTCTTTCAACCGGTATCGGGTCTATTTCATCCCTACAGCTAGCATATAATCATATAGTAAGAGCCACAGAGAAAACAAACATATACATGCAATACATGAAATTGTCATGAAGACAATTATTATCCTACCAACATAATCTAGTGGGCCGATATTGGTACCTTCGACCCACGAGTATAGTGAAGGAAACTCACCTCTCAGTCTGAAAGATCGCTGAACAGGACATTACTCCGAATATCAGCTCTACCGGTCACATATTCATTGGAACATGAGCATACTTAACTTATAATCAAAATACCCAAAATACCCCTAGGTCAAACTTGGTAAAAAAAGGTCAATGTCAAAAGTCCAAAAAGTCAACTGAGTCAACTCAGCTGAGTACGTGTAACATCCGGATTTTCAGGTATGTTACTTTTAATTATTTATTTTTGAGGATCATTGATCTACTCGACGAGTTGGTGCTATGACTCGCCGAGTAGAAGCGGGGTGGCCACGCAAGTTTAATGAACTACTCGACGAGTCCAAGAGTAGACTCGCCGAGTAGGTGCTGTAAGTGGAAACCCTAGATCCTCGGGTTTGGGACCTATTTAAAGGCACTTATAGCCTCATTTGCGGCCACACCTCTCTGAGAAGAAAACCTAATCGCCTCTTGAGCTTATGAGAGAGTCTTGAGACTTACTTGAGATTTGTGAGTGCATTTTGGTGAAGCAAAAGAAGATTACAAGCTAGGATTGAGAAGAGGCTGATAGATCTTCTGCTTATTCGTCCAAGAGCTTCTATTAGAGGTATCAAGTTCGAACATTTCCATTTCATTTGAGTA